TTATGTAATATCAGTCCTCCTATATGGCAGTGAAAGCTGGACAATCTCCTCACAGATGAAGAAGAGACTTGAAGCAAGAGAAACAAAGAAAAGAGTACTGAACTGTTATGTAATATCAGTCCTCCTATATGGCAGTGAAAGCTGGACAATCTCCTCACAGATGAAGAAGAGACTTGAAGCAAGAGAAACAAAGAAAAGAGTACTGAACTGTTATGTAATATCAGTCCTCCTATATGGCAGTGAAAGCTGGACAATCTCCTCACAGATGAAGAAGAGACTTGAAGCAAGAGAAACAAAAAAAGAAAAAGAGTACTGAACTCTTATATAATATCAGTCCTCTATATGGCAGTGAATGATGGACAATCTCCTCACAGATGAACAAGAGACTTGAAGCAAGAGAAACAAAGAAAAGAGTACTGAACTGTTATGTAATATCAGTCCTCCTATATGGCAGTGAAAGCTGGACAATCTCCTCACAGATGAAGAAGAGACTTGAAGCAAGAGAAACAAAGAAAAGACTACTGAACTGTTATATAATATCGGTCCTCCTATATGGCAGTGAATGATGGACAATCTCCTCACAGATGAAGAAGAGACTTGAAGCAAGAGAAACAAAGAAAAGAGTACTGAACTGTTATATAATATCGGTCCTCCTATAAGGCAGTGAATGATGGACAATCTCCTCACAGATTAAGAAGAGACTTGAAGCAAGAGAAACAAAGAAAAGAGGACTGAACTGTTATATAATATCGGTCCTCCTATATGGCAGTGAATGATGGACAATCTCCTCACAGTTGAAGAAGGGACTTGAAGCAAGAGAAACAAAGAAAAGATTACTGAACTCTTATGTAATATCAGTCCTCTCATATGGCAATGAATGCTGGACAATGTCCTCACAGATGAAGAAGAGACTTGACGCAACCGAAATGTGGCTCCACGGAATGTAACTGAGAATACCATGGAGTGAACATGTGACCAATAACGAAGCTTCAGAGAAAATGGAACGTTGCTAACTGGGTGATCATTGTTCAACACAGCCTCAAAACTGCTAACAATGGCGACAATCACTCCGCCACGGGCTGTTGACATATGAGACCGCATTTTCTTATCAGGGAAAAGGCTGAGAGAACAAGAATGGCTGTAAAAACAGCGGGGAGGGGTGTGTGTGTGTGGGGGGGGCATTCCTCACATAATCAAAAACTTTTTCTGGTATTGGTTGCTTTAATTTTTCCCTAACAACCGACCTTGTCTAGGTGTCTTGTTGCCCCCCTCTCCGCCAACCGATCAGGCTTGATACTTCCATTACAAGGAGAAGTTCTCTGGCTTTGATTCCTGAAAATTGAAAATAACATTCTTCGTAACCTTGGGTATTGTATTAGGTGAAAAAATAGTAAACAGAACCAAAAAAAAAAAAAAAAAAAGGAAAAGAAAAAAAGAACATTGGTACACACTGGCACATGCAACATCTATGGCCGTGTCTGTCTCTCGCACATTGGACTTTACAGACATCTATTATTCCACCAGAGAATCTGACTCTCTAGCACTAAAAATCAGGGTTCTTCCAACGACTACGATATTTCAGTATACAAGAAGATGATTAAAGTTTCTTAGCACAACTAGCTTCCCAATAAGTTCATAAAAAGACAAAACAGCGGATATATTTTTTTTATCGGAATTAGAACTTTTCAGTAACCCTCCTTCTGACAGACTCCTGGGTATGACGATAAACTACATCTGGCATCAAGGCATCTTATCCTAAGATTAGAGGTTTTGAGAAGCGAGAAAGCATCTTATAATTGCCTTTGTTCTCATATCCACCTTGACATTATGTAAGTATAGAAATAGATTTTTATAGTAAAAGATGCCAGCAATAAATTTTTATATAAAAGAATTACCAACAAAACAATTTTTATAGTAAAATGACCAACAATACAAATTATTGTGAAATGACCAACAATACAAATTTATAGTAAAATGACCAACAATGCATATTTATAGTAAAATGACCAACAATGCATATTTATAGTTAAATGACCAACAATGCATATTTATAGTAAAATGACCAACAATACAAATTTATAGTAAAAAGACCAACAATGCATATTTATAGTAAAATGACCAACAATACAAATTTATAGTAAAATGACCAACAATGCATATTTATAGTAAAATGACCAACAATACAAATTTATAGTAAAATGACCAACAATATAAATTTATAGTAAAATGACCAACAATGCAAATTTATAGTAAAATGACCAACAATGCATATTTATAGTAAAATGACCAACAATGCATATTTATAGTAAAATGACCAACAATGCATATTTATAGTAAAATGACCAACAATACAAATTTATAGTAAAATGACCAACAATGCAAATTTATAGTAAAATGACCAACAATGCATATTTATAGTTAAATGACCAACAATGCATATTTATAGTAAAATGACCAACAATACAAATTCATAGTCAAATGACCAACAATACATTTTATCTGTAGTTGTACGCATAAAATTGTGTTCAAAATATTTAGATTTCGGCATTAAATAACCGATAGACATTGATATGCCTCTAAACAAATTCAACCAACATCAGACAGCAAATCCAGAAAATACGGGACTATACTTATTTTTTTCTTTCAACCTCCTTTTACCGTTTATTGGACAGGAGTAGAGGTTTATCCATTGTTTCCTGTTTAGGATTGGGTTTCCGGTTCCATTTCCTAAAGTGTTACTCTCATTCACTACCAGTCACCCGTTTTGTCTTAGTAGCGTTATCTCCTTCCTTGGGGCGAAATGAAAAGAGCAGAGTAACGGGACACAGAAGAAGGTTATCGTGTCGGCAAAAACCAGTTAAGTACAGTCTGAGAGTAAAATCAGCTAATTTATGACAGACAGTAAGATGAGTTAAATATTGTCACGATAAATCATTTATTGTGTGTCAGTAAGATCTGTTAAATATTGCCAAACAGTAACATCTGTTAGATATTGTCTGTCATTAAAATCAGTCAGGTATTAACTGAGGATAAGATCAATTAGACATTTTCTGTCAGTAAAGTGTGTTAAATATTAACTAACTGTAAGATCTGTTAGGCATTGTCTGTCAGTAAATCTGTTATATATTGCCTAACTGTAAAATGAATTAAAAATTGTCAGTTATATTGCCTGACTGTAAGATCTGTTAGACATTGCCTATTAGTACATCTGTTAAATAAAGCCTAACTATAAGATCTCTCGGACATTGTCAGTAAGACCAGTTAATATTGTCTAACTTTAAGATCTGTTAGGCATTGTCTATTAGTACATATGTTAAATATTGCCTAACTATAAGATCTCTCGGACATTGTCAGTAACATCTGTTAAATATTCACAAACAGTTAGATCTGTTAGGCATTGTCTATTAGTACATCTGTTAAATATTGCCTAACTATAAGATCTCTTGGACATTGTCAGTAAGATCTGTTAAATATTGCCTAACAATAACATATATTAGACATTGTCTGTTAGTACATCTGTTAAATATTGCCTAACTATAAGATCTATTGGACATTGTGAGAAAGATCTGTTAAATATTGTCTAACAATAACATATATTAGATATTGTTTGTTAGTACATCTGTTAAATATTGCCTAACTATAAGATCTCTTGGACATTGTAAGTAAGATCTGTTAAATATTGCCTAACAATAAGATATATTAGACATTGTCTGTTAGTACATCTATTAAATATTGCCTAACTATAAGATCTTTTGGACATTGTGAGTAAGATCTGTTAAATATTGCCTAACAATAAGATTTATTAGACATTGTCTGTTAATCTAAGAATTTAACTTAGACATTGTGAGTAAGATCTATTAAATATTGTAACATCATTGTCTATTAGTACATCTGCTCTAACTCTAATATCAGATATATATTCCGTGATTGTAAAAACTGCGGTATATTTTCTGATTAAAAAATCAATGTATGTTTGACCAGTTAGATATCTTTGTCAGTGAGATGATCTAAGTATTGACTTACATTAAGATTAGGAAGCCGCCTGTTTATAAGATCATCTAAGTATTGTTTCCTTTATATGTCTCGGGTATTTTCTGCCAATAATCCCAGCTAGGTATTGTTTGACAGTAAGAGGGTGATAAAATTCAAGAGGCCTCTTGCAACAATAAAATACTGCCCGAAACTTTTCCCCTGATAAACTGACGGCTGGGGTTTCATCCAAGTTTTATAATTTTTTTTTATTTTTTTTTTTTATTTTTACTTTTGATTTGACAAATCTCCTTAACGCTTTTAGATTTGAAATTCTTTTTTCGTCTTTTTGTTTCGGTTTTTACATCCGTTCTAAAAATTTTGCTGACGTCATTTTTTCCCCCTGTCGTCTTTGTTTACGAATACTTCTGTCTCCTCGCCCAACAGCTTCTGTGTTTCTCCATAAACCCTTTTCCACTCATCGTCGATCTCGGGACTCCCCAGTACTTCGTACATCCGCGAATGCATTTACTTGCTGTAGGGAGCATAACTTATAATTTGCATTTTGATTCCATTGTATTAGATTTATTTTTTTCTTTTCTTCATGTCGACCCTGTCCAGATTTTTATTCGACTCTCATAAACTTCGCTTCTTTCTATTCAACACCAACACTTTTTGGGCGTTTTCTTTTTACTCGGGTCGATTTAAAAAAAAAAAAAAAGAATTAAAATTATTTCTCTCTTTATTTTTTTCTAATTTTTTTTTTTTCAAATCCAACTTTTCGTTGTATTAATCTTTTCTTCTTTTAATTAGACATTACCTTACAAAAAAAAGAAAGACATTTTTTATTTCTCATTTTTTTTTTTATTTCTCCAAATGATGATATAAAAATTTTCCATTTTCTCAACTCGTTCTATTTCCTTAAATTTCTATATTATTCCTCATTTGGAATTGTGTGTGTGTGTGTGTGTGTGTGTGTGTAATTTTTGCTCGGAATAAGATTTTTTCTTCTTTTTAATAATCAATCCCAAATGAACGTCTTCCTCCTTCTCCTCCTCCTCCTCTTCTTCTTCTTCTTCTTCTTCTTCTTCTTCTTCTTCTTCTTATTATTATTATTATTATTATTATTTTATTATTATCATTTTTATACTCCGTCTTCTCTTACGCCTTCTACTCGTCATATACTTTTTCTTATTGTTTCCAGACTGTCTGGCCATCTTCAATCTTCTTCTTATCTCATTATTATTATTATTATTATTATTATTATTATTATTATTTCATCTTCTTTATCTTTTTACCCCTCCTCCTCCTTCTTCTTCTTCTTATTATTATTATTATTATTATTATTATTATTCCCTTTTCTCCATCTCCACTTCCCTCTTCTTTGCCTTTCACTCTTCACTCCTTCCTTTCTTCTTCTTCTTCTTCTTCTCCTCCTCCTCTTTCTTCTTCTGCATTTGTTTATTATTATTATACCGTCTTTATCTTCTCTTCAGTCTTCTTCGCCTTATTATCTTCGCTCTCCTTTTTATCTTTTTCTTCTTCTTCTCCAACTCCTCCTCCCCTCCTCCTCTTTTTTTATCATTATTATACTGCTTTATCTTGCTACTCGACTTCTTCTTCTTCTCTTGTTGTTGTTGTTATTGTTGTTATTATTATTGTTGTACTCTGTCTTCCCTTAAATCTCCTCCCCCGTTTTTTCTTCCTCTTCTTCTTTTGTTTATTATTATTATTATTATTATTATTATTATTATACTCTTCGACTTGTTCTACTTCTTCTTTTCTGAAAATAATCTTCTTTCTCTTTATGCCCATTCTTCTTTCTCGCTTCATTATCCCCTCCCCCTCCTCCTCCTTGTATTGCTCAGGTCCTTCTTCTCTTCCCCTTTCTTCCCCGCTATCAACACCTTCTCTAACAGACCATCCAATACCCTCATTCTTTCACTCTTTCACTCCCTCACTCACTCACTCACTCCCTCTCCCTCTCTCTCTAACACACACGCACATGTTCACCCACACCCTCTTTTTTTTTCTATTCGCTTGGCAATTTTCACTTTACGAGAGATTTTCTTTTGCTCACAACCTGGACGGCCACCCACTCTCACCCCACGGCGCACCCCCAAACCAACTTTTATTTCTCCACTTTTGTTCACCCCCTCTCGCCCCCCTGTCCTACAACTTGCGTTTTCTTTACGCCACATTTTAAGACCCTATCGCTTCGTGTTGTCAGGCACGGTCCCTTCTATTTGCTCAATCAATCAAAGTCGCTGAAGAATTCACCCTTCCTCGCTTCTTCTCCACTACCCCCCACCCACACCAAAGCCCCCCCTCAATCGACCCCACCCTAAACTCGTCCCTGATATTCACCGTCAACATCAACTCGCCCACCTGTCCTTTTCCCCCTTTCCGGTCATCACAACCCACGCTTCTCTATTTCTCTTTTTCTCTTGAGTCTCTCATGCTATTTTTTTTTTTCTGGGCCCTGTCCTGGCCTCTGTGGAAAGGCCGACAGCCGAGACAAAGACATGCACAGTTCCGAGAAACAAAGAATATCCGAGCTCTGTCTGTCTGTCTGTCGTATTCCTCACCCAAAAGGTTTTTTTTTTGTCTCCACCTGTGCAATAGACATCAACGTATGTCCATTGTTATGACATCGTAAAGCAGGCCGGACATTCAACATCAGTCTTAAAACTTTTGCCTTAATTAATCAACATGGCAATAAATTTGTTTTCCCGGATTCTTACATCAAAGACGTTTCATTGATTTTATTCTAAACATCGGACCATTTGGAAGTAGGCTTTGAGCTGTTTTGATGTTTGGGCTGTTGTTACGGCCTATCCGTCCTACAGCCTTCTCCAGGTGTATCATTTGCATGAGAATAGAGGAGTGAATTTTTTTCTGTATTATTTAGAAACCTTTGTGTTTCTAACGACGTTTCGACCTGTTTACAGCTTTCTTCAATCACATAATTCGATAGAAATGAGGACAACGGATATTATATTGTCTGCGATATTGAAATCCACTTTTGTGCGGTTTTGAGATTTGTACGACTGTCTTTTTCCAGGTGTATAATTCGGAAGAGAAAGGTGTGTGAATGTTTATGTCCCCTTTGTTATCTCGCGTTGAAGGACTAAATCGGTTTTGATTTTTATCAGCCAAAATTTTTTGTGTCCTGCACAAAATCTTGTTCTTGAGACACAAATAAGTTTCCCCCAACCAAGAGCAATTTATCAAACATAATATCCTGACGTTCTGGACCAAATTTGTGTTTCGATTTCGTGATGCGACATTATTCTAAAATACACGGTTTTATATTCATAGCAAAATCCTTCTTAATCAATATCAGTAACCATTTTTCAGTGCTCTAAAAAAAGTATTGGAAAAATATTTTTCATTTTGGAGGTGTTAAGGAACAGGAAAATTTCGTCAGAAATGAGAGGTGAATTGTTAAGTAACATCACACATTCTATATAACAGTGAATGCTGGACAATCTCCTCAAAAATGGAGAAGAGACTTGAAGCAATAGAAACAAAGAAAAGTGTGAAGAATGTTATATATTATTGAGATTGTCCAGCATTCAATGTTATATAGGAAGACTAATATTACGTAAAAGTTCAGTACTCTTTTCTTGGTTTCTCTTGCTTTAAGTCTCTTCTTCATAGGTGAGAAGATTGTCCATCATTCACTGCCATATAGGAGGACTGATATTACGTAACAGTTCAGTACTCTTTTCTTTGTTTCTCTTGCTTCAAGTCTCTTCTACATCTGTGAGGAGATTGTCCATCATTCACTGCCATATAGGAGGACCGATATTACATAACAGTTCAGTAATTTTTCTTTGTTTCTCTTGCTTCAAGTCTCTTCTTCATCTGTGAGGAGATTGTCCATCATTCACTGCCATATAGGAGGACTGATATTACATAACAGTTCAGTACTTTTTCTTTGTTTCTCTTGCTTCAAGTCTCTTCTTCATCGGTGAGGAGATTGTCCATCATTCACTGCCATATAGGAGGACTGATATTACATAACATTTCTGTACTCTTTTCTTTGTTTCTCTTGCTTCAAGTCTCTTCTTCATCCGTGAGATTGTCCATCATTCACTGCCATACAGAAGGACCGATATTACATAACAGTTCAGTACACTTTTCTTTGTTTCTCTTGCTTCAAGTCTCTTCTTCACCTGTGAGGAGATTTTCCATCAATCACTGCCATATAGGAGGACCGATATTACATAACAGTTTAGTACACTTTTCTTTGTTTCTCTTGCTTCAAGTCTCTTCTTCATCTGTGAGGAGATTGTCCATCATTCACTGCCATAAAGGAGGACTGATATTACATAACAGTTCAGTACTCTTTTCTTTGTTTCTTTTGCTTCAAGTCTCTTCTTCATCTGTGAGGAGATTGTCCATCATTCAGTGCCAGATAGAAGGACCGATATTACATAACAGTTCAGTACACTTTTCTTTGTTTCTCTTGCTTCAAGTCTCTTCTTCATCCGTGAGGAGATTGTCCATCATTCACTGCCATATAGAAGGACTGATATTACATAACAGTTCAGTACTTTTCCTTTGTTTCTCTTTGCTTCAAGTCTCTTCTTCATCTGTAAGGAGATTGTCCATCATTCACTGCCATATAGGAGGACTGATATTACATAACAGTTCAGTACACTTTTTCTTTGTTTCTCTTGCTTCAAGTCTCTTCATCTGTGAGGAGATTGTCCATCATTCACTGCCATATAGGAGGACCGATATTACATAACATTTCTGTATTCTTTTCTTTGTTTCTCTTGCTTCGAGTCTTTTCTTCATCTGTGAGGAGATTGTCCATCATTCACTGCAATATAGGAGGACAGATATTACATAACATTTCTGTACTCTTTTCTTTGTTTCTCTTGCTTCAATTCTCTTCTTCATCTTTGAGATTTCCATCATTCACTGCCATATAGGAGGATTGATATTACATAACAGATCAGTACATCTTTCTTTGTTTCTATTGCTTCAAGTCTCTTCTTCATCTGTGAGGAGATTGTCCATCATTCACTGCCATACAGTAGGACCGATATTACATAACAGTTCAGTACAATTTTCTTTGTTTCTCTTGCTTCAAGTCTCTTTTTCATCTGTGAGGAGATTTCCATCATTCACTGCCATACAGTAGGAACGATATTACATAACAGTTCAGTACAATTTTCTTTGTTTCTCTTGCTTCAAGTCTCTTCTTCATCTGTGAGGAGATTGTCCATCATTCACTGCCATATAGAAGGACCGATATTACATAACATTTCTGTACTCTTTTCTTTGTTTCTCTTGCTTCAAGTCTCTTCTTCATCTGTGAGGAGATTGTCCATCATTCACTGCCATATAGAAGGACTGATATTACATAACAGTTCAGTACACTTTTCTTTGTTTCTCTTGCTTCAAGTCTCTTCTTCATCTGTGAGGAGATTGTCCATCATTCACTGCCATATAGAGGACAGATATTACATAACAGTTCAGTACACTTTTCTTTTGTTTCTCTTGCTTCAAGTCTCTTCTTCATCTGTGAGGAGATTGTCCATTATTCACTGCCATATAGGAGGACTGATATTACATAACAGTTCAGTATTCTTTTTTTTGTTTCTCTTTTTCTTCATCTGTGAGGAGATCTTCATCTGTGAGGACAGATTGTCCATCATTTCCCTTTTCCAATATAGGAGGATCATTCAATATAGGAGGATTGATATTACATAACAGTTCAGTACATCTTTTTTTGTTTCTCTTGCTTCAAGTCTCTTCTTCATCTGTGAGGAGATTGTCCATCATTCACTGCCATATAGTAGGACTGATATTACATAACAGTTCAGTACAATTTTCTTTTGTTTCTCTTGCTTCAAGTCTCTTCTTCATCTGTGAGGAGATTTCCATCATTCACTGCCATATCGTAGGAACGATATTACATAACAGTTCAGTACAATTTTTGTTTCTCTTGCTTCAAGTCTCTTCTTCATCTGTGAGGAGATTGTCCATCATTCACTGCCATATAGGAAGACTGATATTATTAACATTTCTGTACTCTTTTCTTTGTTTCTCTTGCTTCAAGTCTCTTCTTCATTTGTGAGGAGATTGTCCATCATTCACTGCCATATTAGGAACATTTCTGACCGATATTACTTCATAATAGTTCAGTACATCTTTTCTTTTGTTTCTCTTGCTTCAAGTCTCTTCTTCATCTGTGAGGAGATTTCCATCATTCACTGCCATATAGGAAGACTGATATTACATAACATTTCTGTACAATTTTCTTTGTTTCTCTTGCTTCAAGTCTCTTCTTCATCTGTGACGAGATTGTCCATCATTCACTGCCATATAGAAGGACCGATATTACATAACATTTCTGTACTCTTTTCTTTTGTTTCTTTGCTTCAAGTCTCTTCTTCATCTTTCAGATTTCCATCATTCACTGTCATATAGGAGGACTGATATTACATAACAGATCAGTACATCTTTCTTTGTTTCTCTTGCTTGAAGTCTCTTCTTCATCTGTGAGGAGATTGTCCATCATTCACTGCCATATAGAAGGACTGATATTACATAACAGTTCAGTACACTTTTCTTTGTTTCTCTTGCTTCAAGTCTCTTCTTCATCTGTGAGGAGATTTCCATCATTCACTGCCATACAGTAGGACCGATATTACATAACAGTTCAGTACAATTTTCTTTGTTTCTCTTGCTTCAAGTCTCTTCTTCATCTGTGAGGAGATTGTCCATTATTCACTGCCATATAGGAGGACTGATATTACATAACAGTCCAGTACTCTTCTTTCGTTTCTCTTGCTTCAAGTCTCTTCTTCATCTGTGAGGAGATTGTCCATCATTCCCTGCCATATAGGAGGACTGATATTACATAACAGTTCAGTACTCTTTTTTTGTTTCTCTTGCTTCAAGTCTCTTCTTCATCTGTGAGGAGATTGTCCATTATTCACTGCCATATAGGAGGACTGATATTACATAACAGTTCAGTACTCTTCTTTCGTTTCTCTTGCTTCAAGTCTCTTCTTCATCTGTGAGGAGATTGTCCATCATTCCCTGCCATATAGGAGGACCAATATTACATAACAGTTCAGTACTCTTTTTTTGTTTCTCTTGCTTCAAGTCTCTTCTTCATCTGTGAGGAGATTGTCCATCATTCACTGCCATATAGGAGGACTGATATTACATAACATTTCTGTACTCTTTTCTTTGTTTCTCTTGCTTCAAGTCTCTTCTTCATCTGTGAGGAGATTGTCCATCATTCACTGCCATATCGGAGGACCGATATTACATAACAGTTCAGTACTCTTTTTTTGTTTCTCTTGCTTCAAGTCTCTTCTTCATCTGTGAGGAGATTGTCCATCATTCACTGCCATATAGGAAGACTGATATTACATAACATTTCTGTACTCTTTTCTTTGTTTCTCTTGCTTCGAGTCTCTTTTCATCTGTGAGGAGATTGTCCATCATTCACTGCCATACAGTAGGACCGATATTACATAACAGTTCAGTACAATTTTCTTTGTTTCTCTTGCTTCAAGTCTCTTCTTCATCTGTGAGGAGATTTCCATCATTCACTGCCATATAGGAGGATTGATATTACATAACAGATCAGTACATCTTTCTTTGTTTCTCTTGCTTCAAGTCTCT